TAGTGATGTAGCTACAAAAAAATACGTCGACGATCAAGAATCTAAGTACATATTAGCCAACGGTGCTATAATGCGTGCATTTCTCGACATGAATAATAATAGTATTAATAATCTCAGAACACCAGAATCTGAGTTTGATGCGGTTAATAAAAAATACGTCGATGATAAAGATGTTCCAATAAATAAGGAAATCACAGCGCTCAAAAATGAATTTATGTCTCACGTGAACATATTTTTGAGTTTTCGCAGAAACATAAACACACTCAAAAATGAATTTTTTGGAAATCCATCTAATGTTGATATTACACTCGCTAATATTAACACAAAATTGAATGATATTATTAGCGGAATTCCTGATATTGTTCAAAAAACTAGTCTGATTAAAATTCCTCACAAACAGATAAGAAATACTGTGTATATAGTTACATCTGGGGTTGGAATGTGGACTCCAGAAAATAATACCATTAAACATACCGCAGAAATTACTGGCATATATAAGATGTCCGTAATTAGCGTTACAGATTTTAGAATATCCACTACAAATCCATCGACTGGGAATTCATTTAAAACTATATCTGTGTTGTTAGATAAAGATTCTGAAGGAATATTTACGCTGGCATCATCGAGTAGAAATTTACCTCAAGCTTACTGGTGGTGTTTGGAATTTGTAGCTCAATTAACTTAACGTATAGTATAATGGATCAGATAACTACGTCATCTATCGACGTTCAACGTCACAGATATAATCAAGCATGTGAATGCCTGACCAAACTAAAAAATACCATCGACGAATACACATTGAAAGTAAAAAAATATCGTAGACGAATAGTTGTTATTGATATAGTTGTGTATTCAGTTTCTGCTATTGTTGCTGGATCCGGATTAATATTATCGACACTAACAATGACAGCTCCAACAATTATAACAATTATTGTTTCAACTTCAACGACTATAGCAGGTATTTTTAGTATTATTGCTAAAAAAAATAACTACATGCACGAGTGATAAATTGTGTGAGTATATGATAAAATTACACACAGCAACAACAGCATATTCTAAACTATCTGGATATATTTCTACTTATCTCAATGATGGTAAAATATCTGACGAGGAGTTTGCAACGATAATTAAAACCTACGATGAAGCATTCAAAATCGTTAGTGATTTTGATAACAAAATAAATGGAGAATTAAACAATAATAATAATAATAATAATGTCAGCGCCTGAGTCAAGAGAGTTGTTACAGCAGATCGTTATTAATACTACTCCGCTGAAAACCACGATGATATCCATAAGTTCAACCAATCCTGAATTCAGCGTTAATTTTCCAACAGCTATCCCAGTAAATGAGATAGCTTTAGCGCAGCTTCGGGTTTATCATAGCTGGCCTAATATCAGATCAAAACCATTTGGTGGACTACAACCAAATAATTCATTAGTATTCGCAAATAAAAACAAATCTGATGGAACTCCCGATTGGCAAGTGGTTAGTATTCCAACTGGTAGTTATCAAATAGAGCAAATTAATGAAGAATTCCAGCGCAGAATTAAATCCATAACCGGAAAAGAGTCCAAGATAGCTATTACTGTTTACGAACCAACATTATCGTCAGTGATTGAAATAAATTCTCCTGATTATGCTGTAGATATCTATCAGAGTTCGATTAGATCAGTATTAGGTTGGCCTGAAGTCGCGCCAGATTATCAAGTTCCACCAGAACCCAAAATCGAAGAGTTTAAAACGGATAACCGAATATTTTTAAAACAACCAGAATATCAAAAGACCGAACGAAATTATAATTATGGTCTCAGAATAAAATATATTACAATACCTGATATGGAATATCATGCATATTTTACGGGCAAAGATTACCCAGGTAATGAAAATTTCTTTAAGATATACTCAGATGATGTAAAAACTGAATTTTTTAATATTTATAATAATTTAAAAAATTTATTTTCTTCTATATCTCATCATTATTCTGAGGATGTGAAACGACAAATAATCGAAACAATACATCATTTAAATGCCGTTGCAGCAGACCTTGATCTTATCAATAAAACTATTATGAATTTTTTAAATAATTATACAGCACCAAGATTATTTATGAAACATTATAAAATAGAAGCACCTCAATTGGCAACATTCATCATTCCCGGATTCGACTCATCTGAGCTAAAAAAATCAGTTAGTGATCTTATTGATGAACACTTTAAAAGAATATGTGATTCATGGAAAAAATTAATCCCGCCTCCAGCAGTTCTCAAATATAATAATGATCAATATGGAACAGGACGACATATCTCACCTAATATTGTTAATATAACACCTACCATCGCACTGAATCTAGTTTGTGATATAATTGATAACAGTTATAATGTTGACCTCTCTAAGTCTAACCAGGCTCAGCAGGGATATATATTATATTCGTCCAGTATCCAATCCCCCCCCCCGGCTGGCTTATTGTATCTGAGCCAATAAATCAAATCTACTTGCCTGTACATAATCCATTATTGTCAAGAATGAATTTCAAACTCACAAATCAGAATGGAAATATAATCGACTTAAGAAATGAAACTCTATATATTAATTTATACATACGCTCATAGATTGGTCTAGATAAACTCTTTGGTTAATTTTACCAAGTCAGAACAAAATATATTCTGGTCTGAATAAAATCTTTGGATAGTCTCCCCTTGACCATCATTTAGATACCCCCCTGACAAAGAAGCAGCAGGGAGGGTGAATGACATCATCTAAGTCGTATTTGGGAAAAAATAGCATGATGACATAGTCAACCCTATGTGGTTTATTAACCATACGGGGTTGATTTTTTTTTCATTCTGTGTAGGAACTCTTTTTTTTCGTTTATGATTCGAGCAAACTTTTGTAGGGTTCACCCTCCCTGCTGCTACAGTGCTACAGTATACTGTTACAAACATTATAATTTCACAATGTTACACATCTGTGATTAAATTACTTGTGTGTTAGTTTTAAAATTCTTTTCTATTTTATTTATTATTACATTTTATTGTAATGACTATTTAAAGGATTCAAAATTCTTTTTCAGTAATTCGATATTTTCTTTTAGCAAATGTTGTTTATTTAAGACACAGAAGTGTTCCATGAGAATTATTGTTAGTTAAACTAGCTCATCTTGGGCTGGAAAGAACGTAAACAGACAGTTAAAATGATTGGTCAATATCATGGCCATAATTTCCTTGCGTGATAGCCATGTGTAAACATTTATATAATGTTGTTTTTTAAGTGTGGCTAGACTGGTGTATGTGATGGATCTCTTGTTGCAAGAGACCACATGACCCATCTCGCGAGATTTGAAATGATGTTTTTAAGGTTTACATACGCATTCTTAATATTCTTCTGGCAGCAGCATTTTAATATCTTGAAGGAACAAGAAGTTTCTTTTTATCTGTTGCTAGATTGTTTGTTTTTCATCTGATTTTTGGATTTAATAATTAGTTTTTGGAAACTCAACAAGTTGACTTTTTTATAAAAATAATTCTGAAAGATATTCATTGCTTTCCATATTTGTGTGTCGACAAGATTCAAACCCGGATTCTAATAGAACTATTTAAGAGATAGAATTTTTGCTTCTCAGTCTTAGGATTACATTTTGGATTATATTTACAAACCGTTAAGTCCTATTCACCAATTTTTACATTGTTTTCTAGGGAAATAAATTATTTTGTTAAATATACTAAGCTTGTCGTCTTTCACTCTTTTATTTGTTACTGAGCATGAACTTACACATAACAGCAATTATAAAGAAAGTTGTTGTCATATCCATGTTATATCAGGGACCAAGCCATACTAAAAAAAGCTTTACTAAAATGGGAGCACTGTTCTGGACAAATCTTTAAAACAATTGAAGCTTTAGTCCTAATATTGTGATGTTAAAGGAAGCTTTACTGTGCTGTATATTTGCACATTCCATAAGGGTTACCCTTACCCTGGCCCCCTTTTGCAATAGTAGACGCAGACAGTAGCTATCACTGACCATACAGGCACAGTGCAGTGGAAGAAGTGTACCATGAAGTCTGTTAACATCAGCTCCTTTGCTGATCAGCTCTTCAACATCATCCTCATCGGGACTGGAAAAAGCCTGCCAATTACTGATGGCTCGGATGAGTCGATCAGAGAGCTGGTAGGAGTGTTGTTCATTCTCCATTACATACCACATTCCTCATTGACCTAGGAAATATACTGAAAATAAAAAAAAAGAGTTTCATAAGGATTTTTAAAACAAAAGCATATGGTCATATATCTTCAAATACTGGGAATCTAATGTGTAAAAATGTGAAGACTAGCCAAGATTAAAAAATGGCAAGTCCAGTACTATCAACACAATAATGTGACTAATCTGGGAATCCTTTATGAACAAAGTATCCCATATGTGGAAAACAAAAATGAAATGGCAACACAAGAAACACCTGGTCATTAAGTTTAGGATTTTTCTTTCTATCTTAAACCTGCTGTAGAAAAATTTGTTCAAGAAAAATGAGAAAGTAGTATGCTGTTTGCTTAGAGATGAAATAAATTCCAGTCTTGAAAAACCTATTGATTTTAAATGGAATTAAAACTAATGAAATAAATTTTTATAAGAAAGTAAGTCAAAAATCATATCATTCTAGCTGCATATAAAATTAAAGAATGGCACGATAAAGGCATTATAAATTGTCTTAACTGCTCTCACAACTGTCATGGTTATCAACTGTCATAGATTTTCTTTATTTTATGTGATTTGCGTGATTTAAATTTTTAACATAGCTTTAACAATTTTTTAGTCATATCACTACGATGTCTGCAGTGTGGCAGTTTATAGTGATGTCTAGCACTGGGGCATCATGCCACAGACATGGAGCATAATATCCTACCCAGTCACATTATCCTGACACCAGGCCAACCAGTCCTAACACTAACTTCTTAATGCTGAGCACCAAGCGAGGCAGCTGTTAGTACCAATTTTAAAGTCTGGTATGACTCGGCTTGGGTTCAAACCCACAATTTCCTGCATCCAAGGCAGAAACTATAACCACTAAGCTACTAGAGCTGTTCTTTTATTTTATCAGAATACTAAATATTTCCTAATGAATTAGCATTAACAGCATTATACACACTGGTGACACAACACCCACAATGTTTCAAACTATCGCAAGAAAAAAGTATGATTGGGACTCCAAGTTTTAGGAATGGAACTGCATCTTTTTCCAAGAATGGAGTCCTGGACTGCAACTTTAATATTCCTATGGAGAGTCCTACATACAGTCACCTTCGTTGTTGGGATTTATTGCCATTTTCAGCACAAGATAGTGGCCAGGATAAAAGGTGGAGGAAGAACCTGGGAAAATGTCGTAAAAGAACTACCAACCTATGAGAAGCTACTGGCAAGCTTCCTCACATATCCACACTGACCAAACCCGAGACTCGAACCCAGGCAGACAGGTGAGATGGCAATGATCCATTATAATGGTGAGCTCTTTTGACCACTCAACCAATTAGCGCATTCACTGGCACTTATATCATCTCATATGTATGACATAATTGCAATAGGGGTCAAATGGCACTGTGACCTCTGTGAATGGAATAATGCAACCTCTACAACACCAGGTACATAGGAGCCAGTTCCCAGCCTTCCAAAAATTAGAAGACGATTAATTTTTATATAGGCAAAGAGGACTTCTCAAGAAAGAGTTGTCATTTTCAAAAAGACATAAGAAAAATGGGAAGTAAAGCCTGCATATAATGGCACCAATGGTGATAATTATGGTTTTGCATTAATTTACATAAAATAGAGCGTAGCACACTGTACTATAACAGCAACTGCCTTACCCATACAAGTTAAATGACTCTGTACTCTGTTTCGGGGCCCCGAGTGGCCGAGTGGTCTAAAGCGCTGTCCGTTACAGATCACTGCCATCTCACCTCTGTCTGTGTGAGTTCGAGTCCAGACTCGGCTAACATGGGTAAGTGAGAAAGCCTGCCAGTAGCTTCTCGTGGGTCGGTGGTTCTTCCCGGGGTTTTCCAGGGTTCTTCCTCCACCATTAATACTGGCCGCCATGTATAGCCTATCTTGTGCTGAAAAATGGCGTTAAACCCTACAACAACAACAACAACAACGACTCTGTTTCAAAGTCATGACAACCATGTGCATCCTATTGATATAAAGGGTAAGTCTGCATTACTGACTTTAAAATTTCTTTTGGTGACATATATTCAGTATACTTCCATTACTAAGTATGTAGAATAATCCTGGAATTAACTTACTGAGACATGAAGCTAAGGATGATAAATGGTTTACAGGATTTATTACAAATATTCCTAAGAAAATGTATGTCAGAGAACAGGTCACCAATTTGTCTGAGCTCTGGTTGATCGATATGTAAAGGCATGAGTTTGATATGACCTGTGCTCTATATCATATTTTTCGTCAACTTCCCATACTGCACATTATCTTTCAAGAATATATGGAATATAACTGTGATATTAAATTTAGTTCAAACTGCTGACATCAGCATTTAGACCATTCAGCAATGAATTGGGAAATAATGACTTGAATTTTTAACAACCACACTCACTCCCCTCCAAAAAAAAACAACATAAAAGGCCTACCCAACATCAAAACGTGAAAGTAATAAGTACCGCCACCACCTCATGTTGTTTATTATTTATGCTCAATTGTAAAGAACTATGAAACTGAAACTTTCTCATTTATCCATATTGCCCAGCCCAAGAACCGAACCCATGGTGATTGAGGTAAGCACTTTAGACCACATGGCCATGAAGGGCCCTTCAAAAGTAAGTAGCCATTTAAGCTAACATCATAGGTGGTAAACTGTCATTGATATTTCTAACAATCAAAGAATCTCCTGACAAAAATATGAAAGTAAATAGTACCTTTATAACCAATAGTTGGTAATTAACCACTCAGCACTTGTGACTGTTTGTGATCACTGTTTGTGATCATAGGTGATGAGAATTCATTGTTTTATCACTCTGTACTATTCTGCCATCAGCGAAATATGGACCTGACAATTATCCTCAAAGGACTAGTGATCTGTATAGCCACATTGCCATTAATTTGTTGAAGTAAAACCAAACATATTTGTTTTGCATACAATGAAACAATTTTAGTACAATACCACCATAACTTTTCCCCTATTTAACTCTTGTAGCTTTGAGACATTATCTCTCCCATCTGTAAATTGTTATAAATATACAAAATGGCTTAAGGAATGCTAAATTAAGTTTATGTAATATTTCCACCACACTTGTTTATGTGTTATTGTTTCCAAGTTTTCTTGTGAGTTTGCAGTTTGAAAAATCTGGGATCTTTGGAAAATGGATTATTTAAACAGTCATCTTGCTCAAAAAGTACACTTGGAATCAGTGTCAAAATTGAGAGCGATAACGTCTGGTAGTGGAATCAACAATTTGCTTATCGAAACAACCAATGGTCAGGAGACAAGAATGAAATTCAACAAACGTCACAGAAGCATAAGTGAGCAAGTAAAGACTGTGATAGATAAATTATATTATTTTGGCAATTTCAATGAATTCATCAATATTGTCTGTGCAAGAAATTCATGATCATTTGGTAAAGTATGTTACAATTCCGGAGAGCTAGCGGAGTAAAAAGGATGCTTTTGAAGTTGTCAAATGTACTTTAATTTTTTATTAAAATAATTTCAAATTTTCTAGCAATGGCATAATATTTTATGTTGAATTTAAAAATTATCAGTGATGTTAGCTCTATTACTACTACTGTGTGGGTTTGAGTCTAGGATTCGGCTAATGTGGATATGTGAGAAAGCTTGCCAGTAGCTTCTCGTGGGTCGGTGGTTCTTTCCGGTGATTTCCCGGTTTCTTCCTCCACCATTAATACTGGCTGCCATGTATCTATCATGCGCTAAAAAAATGGCGTTAAGCCCCACAACAACAGCAACAATGTTTCCTTTATTTTGGCTCTAGCCATTTTCCCCCACCCATGTCACTGCAACATCTGAGTAACACGTTTCCTCATTTATTTAGCACTACACAAATGATCACAGTGGAAAGGAAAGTCTTCGTTCACTTTTTGGTAGCGTTCACTTTTTGGTAGCGTTTGCGTTAGCTTGGACAGCTAAATTTAAAATATTAAAAACCCAATATAAGAAAGATATAGTGTGTGGTAGATAGTAGGACCAGATTCGGCTAATGTGGATATGTGAGAAAGCTTGCCAGTAGCTTCTCGTGGGTCGGTGGTTCTTTCCGGTGATTTCCCGGTTTCTTCCTCCACCATTAATACTGGCCGCCATGAATAGCCTATCGTGCGCTAAAAAATGGCGTTAAGCCCAACAACAACAACAACAACAACAACAACAACAACACTACAACCCGTTTAAAGTCTATCTGTAGGATTGCTAAGACACACATACCCCTCACTCTAACGCACTCTGCCTCAGGATACAACTTGAAACGAACTAATACATGAACACATTACTGTCATAAAACAACAGATAAATAGCGTCGGACAAATATAACATCAGGAAATGAGCGCATTAGCATAAAAGTGAATGTAAATGCTTAAGTGCGTCGAACCCAATCAGTCCACTATATGCCAATGGTCAACAAGCTATTATCGATTGCAGAATTTACAGTTTACATGACACGAACTGTGTTTTAATTTGTCAAAATTACAGTCGACAAGAGCATACATACAAAAGGTGTTACCATTTTGTTTACGTTTCTTTAGTTAGTTGAAATACAGTATATAGTACCGACAAGAAGCACTAGTCTAATTTAACTGAAGATGAATTTCACATATTTACCCAATCCATTTTGGGGGGCTTTACAAAAACTAGGTCTTCACGTCATTTGCAAGCTGCGTGGAATAGTTTGCTATCTTAACAAATTCCAAAACTGTGCAGAAGGTATTTTAAAATTACTCACAATATCGTCAGCTGCGTTGTTGGAAGAACCCTGGAAATCCTGGAAAGAACCACCGACCAACAAGAACCTACTGGTGAGCTTTATAACATACATTGGGCAAGCCCGAGACTCGAACCCACGGAGACAAAGGTGAGATGGCAATAATCCATAACGGTGAGCGCTTTAGACCGTCAGCTGTATAATACATATTCTCTCTCTCTCTCTCTCTCTCTCTCTCTCTCTCTCTCTCTCTCTCTCTCTCTCTCTCTCTCTCTCTCTCTCTCTCTCTCTCTCTCTCTCTCTCTCTCTCTCTCTCTCTCTCTCTCTCTCTCTCTCTCTCTCTCTCTCTCTCTCTCTCTCTCTCTCTCTCTCTCTCTCTCTCTCTCTCTCTCTCTCTCTCTCTCTCTCTCTCTCTCTCTCTCTCTCTCTCTCTCTCTCTCTCTCTCTCTCTCTCTCTCTCTCTCTCTCTCTCTCTCTCTCTCTCTCTCTCTCTCTCTCTCTCTCTCTCTCTTCAACAGACTGCAGACGCTTGCTGACAGAGTGTATCCAGTGTCTCAGTGTGGGTTCCGCGCAGAGAGATCCACAATCGACATGATCTTTTCCATCAGGCAACTGCATGAGAAGTGAAGAGAACAACGCAGACCACTCTTCCTGGCTTTTATAGACCTCACCAAAGCATTCGATCTGGTCAGCAGAGATGGACTCTTCAAAATCCTGACGAAGACTGGATGCCCTCCAAAGACGTTAAGCATGGTCCAATCTCTCCATGAAGACATGAAAGGCACAGTGCACTAATATATTAGTTAATAATGAAAACCGGAAATGTTCAGTCTAATAAAATGCATAGAGACCTGTACTGGCTATATAAACATAATTTTATGAGAAACACAATGACACAGTTGTACAAATCCAATGTTCCAGCCATCTCGTACATAACCAGTTAACTTATTCTTCACTGCGTTCATTAACTCTGGTGACAGTGTTGTTTGTTACTTATATTCGAAGATCACGTATACTGAAAAGGAGCTGATGATCAATCAATTTCTAATAATGTCACTTATCCTTGCCACTCATTGGAGTATGTGACAAGTGTCAAATATATTTTTATTTCATTACATACAACTGAATTGCCAGCCAAAACCTGTATGTTTTCTTCGAAAAAAAGCTACTCTCAAACAACTACATTATCTTAAGAGCGTCTTATGCATTACCCGTGTTCGTGCAATGTACATGACATTTCTGTAACTGAATTTGTTTCTCTTTATCTGCATTTAACCGCTCCGGTAGCCTAAGGGTTAGAGCGTTCGCCTCGGATGCGGAAGGTCGTGAGTTCAATATTTTTATTAGATTGCATACAACGGAATTACAGCCAAAACCTATATGTTTTCTTTTTTTAAAAAATGCTATTCCAAAACAACTGCATTATATTCAGAGCGTCTTATGTATTACCCAATTTTGTGCCATGTACATGACATTTCTGTAATTGAATTTGTTTTTTGACCGCTCCGGTTGCCTAGTTGTTAGAGCCTCCGCCTCGGATGCGGGAGGTCGTGGTTCGATCCCAGTCGAGTCACACCAAAGACAGAAAAATGGCACTAATAGCTGCTTCGTTTGACGCTCAGCATTAAGAGGTTAGTGTTAGGACTGGTCGGCCAGGTGTCAGGATATTGTGACTGGGTGCGACACCATGCCGCATGATGCCCCAGTGCTAGACATAACTATAAACTGCCACACTGCACACATCGTAGCGATATGACTGAAAGATTGTTAAAAGCTACGTGAAAAATTATTAACACCACACCTTTATCTACATTAACGAAAGATTTTGCATATTTTAGTGCGACATATTCTGCTTGCTTAACAGCTTTAATATCGCCATTTGACATTCTAAGAAGACAATCATCAATTTTTATTTTTTATAAGAACTGGAAGAAAAATGTTTAAGGGATTTGCTACTGAAAGTGCAAAGGAAACGCACAGGAACAGTCGATGTTTTTTTTCTTTTGCATTTTTTTATTTTGAGAAAGCTTTTATTGTTGCTTATGATAAACATCCTTGTAAAAACGTGTATGAACGAATGAAAGATTATTGAAATCTTAGGACAAAATGAAACCTAGCTGCTAATAATTGTTGCTCATATTTAAATTGTGAATCGAAATATATTTTAACTGCTAAAATAAAAAAAAACTAACTCTTGTGAAATTTGTTCGCTACATCAAGAATTTTAAAAGCGACGAAACTCTGTCTTTTGCATCGACACATGGATGTGATCAACTATGGTAAGTTAAAGAATACTCCAATCTACATTAAAGTATTTGACAAAATTTTCACTTGACAGTAAGACTTTACCACATGTAGGTAGGATAAAGTTGATACCCCTTTTCCCACACACCAAAATAAATAACGTTATTCAGGCTTGTCTTATTTGTCAGTACAAAATCAGGTAGAAGTTCTTCTCGACTTTTTTTCCTCATTCACTAAATGAGAATCGCTCATCCCATTAAAGTTTTCATGCAAAGAATGACACATTTTTATGTGAGGTAGTCAGTAACTCTTTGAAGACTAGAAAACGGACTGCGAATTCATTTTTTAAGTATTTAATATGGCACGTATTGCAACAATTACTGTCATGGGGCAACGTATTGTTACTTTACTAAGTAAATATTAACTCATCTTTAAACGCTATCCGATCGTTCATATTTATGTGTTCAAGAAGTATGTGTATGTGTGTATGTGTGTGTGCATGTGCGTGTGTGAGAGAGAGAGAGAGAGAGAGAGAGAGAGAGAGAGAGAGAGAGAGAGAGAGAGAGAGAGAGAGAGAGAGAGAGAGAGAGATGTGAGGTGGGGTGGGGTGGGGTGGGGTTGTTGTGCGAATTGGAAGTGAATAAGTGAAGCAGAACAAAGTAGATTTTCTATTTTTATAACTGTATTCGATCCATATTGATTTTCAGTGGACATTCGAAATCACTTCTTATTTTATATATTACATTGTTTGACATGTAAATGAATATCCCATCTATTCATCGGCCTTGATTTCCTGGTTCCATTGACAACATGTTAATAAAACTAGCTCAGATACGTCTTGATAAATTATCGTTTCCAAGTGTCTAACAGCTGCAATGTAGATTCACTTTGTGTCTAATTTAGTCCATTTTTGGTAAGATGTTTCTTTCATTGTCATATAGAAAGGAAGCATACCTCTCTTTCTTCAAATCAAAGATGGATGTCCGTTATGCCCTACAGACTGAGGACATAAATTTAAAAAGGAATTTAAAGACCGTCGTTCTTTTGATGCAAATATATCATCGGTATTCAATACGTGAATTCCAAGGTGTCGATCTATGTAAACACTTTTAGGTTTTATAACGTAGTACCCATTTAGTGAGAACGCAAGTCCAGGTCAGTCTATAGGCGCGGTCTTGCTCTGATTGTCGCGTATTTCGTTGTAGATGAATGACGTACGTTCTTCTTCATTTGCACCAAACGTATACATTGGGAGTACTAACAGAGAAACACGATGCTTTAATCTCGTAGATGTGGTAGATAAGGGTGGAAGAATGGGCTATTATGCTTGAGGGATCTTTGATTGCCAGTATTCTACAGTCTAATTGGATAGCACGAAACCTCTCTGGTATTAGCAGCGGAATTAAGTCAATATTGATTCATTATTAAAAGCTAAGATCGCCACCTGTAGGCTTTTGTGTTTTAGACAAAGGGTATACCGGCATTACGTTATTTAAAGTTGAGAAGAATCCATAAGATACTTCATTTACGACCAGTGGAAGAGACATTAGAAATATGGCATCCTTAACTTTGTACATGCAGTCAGATATCAATACAATATGTATGTATGTATGTATGTATGTATGTATGTATGTATGTATGTATGTATGTATGTATGTATGTATGTATGTATGTATGTATGTATGTATGTATGTATGTATGTATGTATGTATGTATGTGTGTGTGTGTGCGTACGTGCGTGCGTGCGTGCGTGCATGCATGCATGCATGCATGCATGCATGCATGTATGTATGTATGTATGTATGTATGTATGTATGTATGTATGTATGTATGTATGTATGTATGTATGTATGTGTGTATGTATGCATGTATGTATGTATGTATGTATGTATGTATGTATGTATGTATGTATGTATGTATGTATGTATGTATGTACGACCAACAATTTCAGAGTTTGTGTGTGTATGTATATGTATATATCACCGCGAATATGATACTTAGTTTTGACTGAGGTGCATTAGAAACAGGTCATGTAAACAAGCGGCATGTAAGTCGGATATTGTACATTATACCGCAAAACTTAGCAAATGCATCAGGAAGAACTTAGTATTTTTGATTGTGATACATCTGATATCATTGAATCCTGGCTGTCATACCTGAATTTTATAATTCTATCTCGATACAGCGATAGTCATGTACGTTCTTTTATCTTGACCGTGTGTCTGTTTCCAAAACTTATGTTGTGATGAAGTTTGCCTGGGTAATCATGTCCTATGATTTGTGTATTTGCTTTCTTTCTCAACCGGGTCTTAGTTGCATTGTGCGTCTGCGGTTATGGTGATGCTTACGGTGGTTTTGAGTATTGTAGCTCTCAAGTGGTTGGCTGATTTTGGTTTTAGCTAAAGAGTAATCTTACGGTTCTTTTAAAGAAACGTGCAAAATACGCACCGCTTTATCTTCCCAATTTGTGGGAGCCCCAATCCAACAGTGTGCGAGATCATTACACAGAACAAAAAGACGTTATATGAGCAGATATTACATGGTCGGTTCATATGATAAACAACAAGTATAGAGTTTGTGCAATTTTTAGCATATCTGATCGCAAAGAACACACGATGGAAAAGAACAGGTTTTGGTAAGGACCAATATAAAAATGTGTATTCTAGTAGGAAAACCAATGAGGATAGGTACATAGGTACAACTTTTGTTTTTCTTGTTTTTGATTTTGATATCTTCTAGAAGTAAATCAGCATCCTGAATTTAACTTCGGTCGTTATTTTTTCTCCATGATTTTTTTTAATCAGAAATAAAATTTAGTCTCGTTTAGGTTATTTTACTTGGATGCATAGGCTATTGCCAGATACTCGGTATAGATCTTACGAAGTTTCACGTAATAGATGTTTGAACGAGAATATTATATTATATTATATTATATTATATTATGTTATGTTATGTTATGTTATGTTATGTTATGTTATGTTATGTTATGTTATGTTATGTTATGTTATGTTATATTATATTATATTATATTATATTATATTATATTATATTATATTATATTATATTATATTATATTATATTATATTATATTATATTATATTATGGAGCCCGTTCATGGAGAACCAATCGATATTTCCATTGTTATGTTTTAATACTCTTAAAGCTCCATTTCCTTCAAAGACTCAACTACCAACTGTATCACAATGGTACATCAAACATGTACATTACTCTTATGATGATATATTTTCACAAACGAGTAAAAGGCAAAAAAAAAACTGCTCAAAATATCCATCACGGACATACAAGATTAAACCTGTAGGTTTGTCCAACCCGTCGCCATTATGTACGTGTGTGTGATTTGAATTTTTAGCATAGCTTTAACAATGTTTCAGTCATATCGCTACGACGTCTGCAGTTTAGCAGGTTATAGTGATGTCTAGTATTGGTGCTTGACGGCACAGATAATGAAGCGTTGTGTCCTACCCAGTCACGTTATCCTGACACTAGGTCGACCAGTCCCAACACTAACCTCTTAATGCTGAGCTCTAAGCGAAGCAGCAGTTCGTGCCATATTTATAAGTATTTGGCACGTCTCGGCCTGGATTCGAACCCTCTTAAAATATGTAATAGAGAGAAGTGAAACCAACACTTTCAGTAAAATTAACCATTTATTTTATGATACAAAGACAAAAGTCAAGAGACACTTTCAGCATTATGAATTAAATCCCAAACAATTCTAATTGTCCTGTAAGAAGTCCAAAAATACAGAATGTTCGGAAAGAAGTTATTTATTTTAAATAAATAATTCCTCTCCAATTCTTTCTGACAGACTGACTTAAAACGAATGAATTGTCTGTTTATCAAATTCCCATTTATTACACATTTACACTCTATTTATTACATAATACAACAAAGATTTCCAATGGAAAATCCAGGTCTAATTGTAAATAATACTGACCTTAATGTCGTGTTATTTAAAGAAGTCGGTTACAATTCACAAAAGTTAGCCATGTAAACATTCTCTTTGCAATGTACAACCATGAACTAAAGTATACAATATAATTAAATATGCATAACACTTTGAACAGATATACCTTAGTACCTACTATATAGCAGTGATATCTGCGTGTAGCTCAAATTAGGTCTATACATTCCCAGCAGATCCACACATTCCCAGCAGATCTACACATTCCCTGCAAATCTACACGTTCCCAGCAGACTCTCTTCACTTCGTGGGAATTTCGTTGTCATTTGATAAAATAGTAAACAATGTATGAAGTGGAAATCGACAAAATATAGCAGACAGGTACTCCTATGGTAACCAGGTGT